GATTTGGATAGTTTCTCTCTGCCTTTTAGTTAGTTTGGCTAAAGGTTTGCCTAGCTTGCTGATTTTATCAAAGAACCAATTTGCTTCTTTTTATTTCTAGGGCTTTCAGTTGGGCTATTAAGTTGCTTGTACGAAATGACACAAATTTCTTCTTGAAGGTACTTAGTGCTATGAATTTTCCTCTGAGCACTGCTTTCATTGTGTCCCATAAATTAGGTTATGTTGTAACTTTATTTTCATTGAATTCTAGGAAGTCTTTAATTTCTTTCTTTATTTCTTCCTTCATCCAGCTGTCATTGAGCAGAAAGTTGTTCAGTTTCCATGTGCTTGTAGGCTTTTTTATAATTTCATTTTTGTTGTGGTCCAGCTTTAGTCCAAGGCGGTCAGATAGAATACAGATTATTTCAATCTTCTTGTATCTGTTGAGGGTTGTTTTATGACCAAATATATGGTGTATTTTGGAGAAGGTTCCATGAGGTGCTGAAAAGAAGGTATATTCTTTTGATTTTGGGTGAAAAGTTCTATAGACATCTATTAGGTCCATTTGATTTAGGACCTCTGTAAGTGCCTTTATTTTCCTATTTGGCTTCTTTCTAGATATGTCCCTTAGTGAAAGTGGGGTGTAGAAGTCTCACACTTTTAAGGTGTTGACATCAATGTGTGATTTAAGTTGTAATAATTTTTCCTTTATGAATGGAGGCGCTCTTGTATTTGGGGCATAGATGTTCAGAATTGTGATGTCCTCTTGGTGGTTTTTCCTTTGATGCGAATGCAGTGTCCCACTTCATCTTTTTTGATTAATTTTGGTTGAAAGTGTATTTTGTTAGATGTTATGATAGCTACCCCAGCTTGTTTTCTGGGTCTGTTTGCTTGAAAGACATTTTTCCAGCCCTTTACTCTGAGATAGTATTTATCTTTATTGCAGAGGTGTGTTTCTTGGATGCAGCAGAATGTTGGATCATGTTTCTGCACCCATTTTGTTATTCTGTGTCTTTTTTTTTTTTTTTGGAAAGTTGAGTCCATTGATGTTGATAGATAATAGCGACCAATGAATATCAGTTCCTTTTATTGTGCAGTTGGTGGTCTTGCTGTGTTTCATTGCTTGTTTTCTTTTAATTTTGGGTGGGATATTATCTATATGCTATGTTTTCTTGGATGAAGTTGTTTTCATTGGATTGGCATTTTCCTTCTAGTATCTTCTGTAGGGCTGGTTTGCTGTGCAGATATTGCATAAATTTAGTTTTGTCATGGAATGTTTTGTTTACTCCATTTATGTTGATTGAAGGTTTTGCAGGATAAAACCTATGTTGGCATCTGTGGTCTCTTAGAGTCTGCATGATACCTGCCCAGGCCCTTCTGGCTTTCATAGTTTCTGATGAGAAGTCTGGTGTGATTCCGATAGGTCTACCTTTATATGTTACTTGGCCTTTTCCCCTTGCTGCTTTTAATATCTTTTCTTTGTTCTGTAGATTTAGTGTTTTGACTATGATGTGACATGATGTGTTTCTTTTTTGGTCTAGTCTATTTGGTGTTCTGTAGGCCTCTTGCATATTTATGGACATCTCTTTCTTTATGTTGGAAAAATTTTCTTCCATGCTTTTCTTAAAAATATTTTCTGGACCTTGGAGCCTGGAGTCTTCTTTTTCATCAATTCCTATTATTCTTTCCTTTTCCTGGCATCCTTGATTTTTGGATATTTTGTATTTGGGATTTTCTGATTTTACTTTTTCTTTGAGAGAAGTATCAATTTCTGCGAGGATATCTTCAGCACCAGAAATTCTCTCTTCCATCTCTTTTATTCTGTTGGTGATGCTTACCTTTGTGGTTCCTGATCTTTTCTCCAAGTTCTCCAGCTCCAGAGTTTTCCCAGTTTGTGTTTTCTTCATTGATTTCAATTCTGTTTTCATGCCTTGCACCATTTCCTTCAACTGTTTGAGTGTGGATTCTTGTCTCTCTACGATGTATTTTTTTTGTTGTTGTTGTTCAATTCCTCTCTATATGCCACTAATTGTATCTCTACTTGTGCCTCTACTTGTTTGGCAATATTTGCCTGTGTTTCTTTAAGAATTTTGTCATTTCTTCTTTCTTTGCTTCCAATTGACTGGCCAAATCTTTGATAGATTTTTTTTCATTTCCTCTTTAACTGTCTGAATTTGCATGGCTATTGCTCTGAGAGATTTTTTTGTCCTCTTTATGAGCCTCAAATAATTGGATAAGCATAACTTTAAAGTCATTTTCCTGTTCTGTTAAATTGGAGTATCCATCAGTTTTAGGGGTTGCTGTTGAAGTCATGATGTCCTGATTTATAAAGGCTTCCCTGTTTTTTTCTGGATTCTGCAGTTCAGACTGGTACTGTCTCTCTCTGGCATCTGGAGAGTTCTTCAGGAAGCTGAGAGAGTGTCATCAGTGTGTGCGTTGATGCATTAGCTGTACTTGTGGGAGATACTACGCAGGCACAATAGGGCAAATGCAGTTGTGTGTGTGTGTGTGTGTGTGTGTGTGAGTGTGTGTGTAAGTGTGCATGGAAGTGTGTCTCTAGAGACAGAGTGATAGAGAATGTTGAACCCTTGAGTGTGTGGGAGGGGCTCTGCCTTGCAGGCCACTAGTGGGTTATTTGTGCATGCACTATATATGTACCAGGCAGTGGTGACTCTCTCTGCTCAATTTTCTGCATTATCTGCCTTAACTCCTCAGTTGGACCTGCAGAGCAGGGGCTTCAATGTCCCAAGTGACCCTCCATTTCCCACAGTCGGTATGTGGTTGGGAGTGGTCCGATGCCTGTCTTCTATTTTAGAAGGACCCTGGATCTGGGGCTTTGCAGACACTCAAGAGCACACTCACTCTCAAGCAGGTCACATCGGCAAGGATCAGGGTATCTGGGCTCTCTGCTCTCTGGTTTGGCCCTGCTTGGTCTTATGCAGGAGGACTGACGTGCTCTGCCAGCTCAGTGCTGTTGTAGCCACCAGGTTAGGAAGTCCAGCTGCAGCTGGAGACTGGGATGCTGGTCCAGATGCCTTCTGGGAAGTTAGGGGGTCCTCCACTGTACTCTCCATGCCTGGGAGGACCAGCGCCTGGTTTGCCTAGCTTGTATGGCGAGTCTGCTGGGCTTTGGTGGGTATATAGCGTATTATCTCTTACTGAGGGTTTGGGCTGGCCATACAATCAGTGGCTGAGAGATCCTTTGGAGCCAGTATGATAGCCAGCAAACCTGGGACCCTGGGAGGATGGTGCTGCAGGTCTGGGACTCCAAGACCGGTATAGCTGGCAGTTGCTGCTAAGGGGCTAGGAGCTCTGCCTCAGCTGCTGGCTGCAGAGCCCAGGCAGTTAGCTCTGAGCTGAGAATCTCGGTGAGCTGGCTGTGCGAAGGAGGAGGTTTTTTCAAGAAAGGGGAGTGCAGGGAGAACAAAGGATCGTTTCTCTCTTTCCCCAAACAAGTGTATGGTTGACCGGAGACCAAAGTTCTCACCTTGTGGGATGTTCCCTGTTGTTTAGAAAGTCTCAAGGTCCTCTTCCTGGCTTCAGAAGTCCTTCCATTCACCAACTCAGGTGTTCAGCTCTTCCACAAGTCATAAACTGTGTATGCTAGTCACCATCTTGGCTCTGCCTCCCTCCAGTTTTCTTAATTCATTTTCTCCTCATTCCATTCTTCCTTCCTTCCTTTCCTTTCTTCCTCCCGTCTTTTCTTTCTTGATTTCTTTCTTTTTTGATTTCTTTCTTTTCCATTCTTTTCTCACTCTCATTCTCCTGTTTTTCACCTTCTGTGTTACAGATCTTTCCCCTTTAGCCCACTTTGATCTAAATTCATTATATAACCAGGCTCACCTCCAGTTTATGGCAATCTTTCTCCATTAGTTTTCTATGTGCTGTACAACATTTTTGTGCTTCTCATTTCTCGAAACCCTTCATGCATTTATGAGAGCCACTACTTTGCATTTTGATCTACAGGATTTTATGGTTTTAATTTTTATTTTCTTTTTAAAAATTTAACCTAGGTTGTCCTTGAACTTATTATGTAGTTATAACTTTCTCTGCACTAATTTACTTCTTTGGTTAATTTTACTGTTGGTTATTTTTTTTAACTATGCCTAATGATATTGCATTTTTCATAACTACCACTTTCTCTTTTCATATATTGATACAACGTGACTGCACTTATTTCTTTACTCCACTCCCTTTGTGACTTTCTGGTGTGTGCTGTAATGGTTCCCTGAGATCTCTAATTTTATGGACTTCAGTTTCTTTGTTTTTGTAGTCTATTTGAAGAATGGGCAATTACTTACTTATTCTTTCAAAGAAGGATGCTGTGCTAAACTAATTCTGGAGGTCTTGGAGAAATGGCTCAGCCATTAAGAGCACTTGCGGCCCTTCCTGCTGGATAACCTAAGTTAAGTTTCCGGGACCAAGGTTAGCAATTCACAAATGTCTGTAATTCTGGATCTTGTGAATCTAACACCTTTTTCAGCTCTTACAGGCACTCACACATGTGCATAAAATGCAGGTGCTCATTCACACACATAAATAAAAAATAAAAAAAAACATATTTAAAATGGGAGAACTGCTGCTTAGTCCTTTGGTTTTCAGTTGCATTTATGTTGTACAACATTTAATATTAACTCATGTCAAGCTCTTTGATCATTAGATATTTAATTTTCAATGTCCATGTGCACACTCAAATATACTTTAAAAATAGTCTTTGATGTCTAGAAGAAGTCAGACAGAACAGTTCAAGAATACAAGGTCAAATCACTTTACACATATTCTAGTAATATCTTGTACTTGCTGCATAGAAAGTTATAGATTTGATTACAAATCACTTATAACTGCATGACAAACATATCTCTGTGAGGTATCTATGTTAATATGAAAAAACATATTTAATATTTTATTTGAATGTTTAATAATTGCAAGAGTTACATAAATATCTAAGGTTACTGGATTACTAGTCTAAAAGTATGCCTTTGGTTATAATTTAAAAATCTTGTGTACCAGTTTATATTTACCCATCATAATCTTCATTGATTCCAGCAAAATCCACTGTTTCACACTTTACAAAAATGACTAATACCAAGAGCCCAAGTGATATAATAGATGTTGCCATTATAAATCTCATTTGGCTTCTACATGACAATTTCAACTTGGAGACAACGAAACCTCCCAGGAAAATGCCAATTGCACCACCTGGAATTAAAATGATTCCTATGAAAGGAAAAATGAAATACTTTTAAACATACAAGTTGAGAGTACTGAAAAATTACATATAGGTGCCATTCCTTCTACTCAAATACAGACTTTTCAGACTTAAGAAAAAAAAGCCAAAAATGTGTGGTATTTGAATAAATCCAAAATTTGTAACACATACAGTCTTGTGCATGGGAATGGGGCCATTATAGGTCTACTGGATTCTTGTAGTAAAGGTGATGTTTTGCTCCTATACTACTGGGTATCAAATACAAGCCAGGAACATAGTCCATGTCACATAGCAGTTAGGAGCTGTGTTATTGAGACATGTTATTGCTTCAATTACTAAAAGTTTAATATATGGACTATTAAGGGATACTCAAATGATAAAAGGCTTCCTCAAATTATCCCATGGATAAGAATTGGAACAACCATCTCACTGAGATCTTTCATAGATGGTCCACACGGACAGTCTTACAACAGTTTGAGCCTCCATAGTACCTAATATAAGGTATGGTTTTTATTTCTCCTTAAACATAAATATTTCAAAAGAGGAAATCAGAAGAATATGGTCAAAAAAAAAAAGAAAATATGAGGAAGAGAAAAATGGAAAAAAAACCTCAATATAACAAGTAAATGAAATATAGACCACTATATATAAACATAAACACTAGGTTAAGTCTAATGATGATTTGAATGTATACAAAGGAAATGTTCCATACAAATGCAAAAAATAAGAGCAAAGAGAAAAGTAATAAGGTTGATGGATGTAAAAAAAGACCAAAGAAGAAAAGTGTACAATAAAATGCATAATTGATAAAATTCAGGTCCAAGGTGATGGTATAGGGACACTCAGGAATAGTTTTCTTTTCCATAGGGTGGAAACAAAATTGTAGACTTGGAGCTTGTCATGAAATGAAGAGTGGGTAAGAACTAGATATTGTCTGCATATCTGCATAGAAAATAAAATGTGGCACCTTCCATAGCCTAGGGAGAATGACAAAGCCAGATGAGCAAACGTCCTGGCTCTGAATACAAAACTTTAGGCAGAGATATGGACTCTCTACTAGGCAGTAAAATGACAGTGGAAGCCAAGACATGGCAATGAAGGCTGCATCCTGAGACAAGTCAGCCTCAGTAGAAGCACGGCCTGGTGTCTGAGAACAAGCTAACTTCACAAAAGAAATTAACAAGAAGTTAAGTGAGAACTGAGTTATAGAGCTGCCTCAGGAAAGGTTCTGCTGTCAGGGACTCAGCTACTTTGAGGTTGGAAACCCTGGCCTAGTCTTTCATGTCTCAGAAGAGTCTCAGACTTCTCATGTGTGTCAGCTGGGGAAGCAGCAACCCCAGGCAGTGAGATAGGTATACTTTGGGTGAGTGTCTCTGACACAACATACCGACAGGTGTATGCTTAGACACACACTGTGAGAGACATTCTAGACATGCTCCATGTCTTGGATGTTTCCTGTGCACCAGATTTCAAAAAGTAAAAGCCTTCAGAGCAAATGTATACCCATTCAGCATGGTCCATACTCTGCCCAAATTTAGTGTTCATTAAGAAGAGCTTTCTGTAGCCCCAATACTGTCAACATATCCACTGTACAGAATAAAACTTCCTAAGTGAAGATATACCTAAAAAAGCATATATTTTCTCTACATTTATGTGGCAAGACTTAATGCTCTACCATCATTATCCATGAAAAGGGTATTACAGATGAAAATACTCCAGTGACTGCACACCCTTACGACTTTCTACATCCCCTGACTGTGTCAGATGTTGAGTACATCCTGCTTCTGCTCTAACTAATTTGAGCAATTAGAATAATCTGAAAATACACTAGACTATTATCAGTCTATTCATTATGAATTTCAGATCTAGAATATCCAGAACGATCTTAGACAGGAAGATGTTGTCAATTACCTTTTTTCTCCCTCTCTCTCTTCACATTTGTTATTATTATTATTATTATTATTATTATTATTATTTACAATTTATTCACTTTGTCTCCAGGCTGTAGCACCCTCTCTCATCTCTTGGTTCCACCTTCTCTCCATCTTCTCTCCCATGCCCTTCTGATGATTCAACCAAGGACTATGCATAGAGAGGACCTAGACACGCTGCACAGATGTAGCCCATGGGCAGCTCAGTCTCCATGGGGGTTCCCTAGTAAGAGGAGCAAGAGCAGTCTCTGGCTTGAATTATGTTGCATGTTCTTTGGTCATCTCAACCTAGTAGGGTGGCCTTATTAGGCCACAGAAAAAAAGGATCCAGACAGTGCTGATGAGACTAGGTAGGCTAGGATAAGATAAGAGGCAAGGAGGACCTGTTTACTATTTGCTGAACCTGTTTACTATTTCCTTTCACTTAAATTGGTTTATTCATTTTTTAAAAAACTTTTTTCTTCACAATTTATTCTTTATAAATCCCAATTGAAGCTCCCTCCCTCAACTCCCTAAGTCTCACCCTTCTCTCTTCTCATCCTCTTCCCCTAGTCCTAAAACCAGACATATTAAATTTATTACAAGAAAAACTAGGGAGGAGCCTCAAACTGATTGGCACAGAAGACAGAAACAGCTCAGTCTCTAAGATCTACAATTAATAATTGGGACCTCACGAAACTGAAAAGCTTCTGTAAAGCAAAGAACACTGTCAGCAGAACAAAATGACAAGCCTATAGACTGGGAAAGGATCTTCACCAACCCTACATCCAATAGAGGACTAATATCCAGAATATATAAAGAACTCAAGAAATTAGACACCAACAAAACAAATATTCCAATTAAAATGGGGTACAGAGTAAGCAGAGAATTCTCAACAGAGGAATATCGAATGGCAGAGAAACACTTAAAGAAATGCTCAATATCCTTAGTCATCAGGGAAATGCAAATCAAAACGATCCTGAGATTCCATCTTATATTTATCAAAATGGCTAAGATAAAAAACTCAAGTGACAACACATGCTGGAGAGGTTGTGTAGAAAGGAGAATCCTCCTCCATTGCTGGTGGGAAAGTGAACTTGTACAGCCACTTTGGAAATCAATCTTGTGCTTTCTCTGAAAAGTGGGAATAGCACTACCTCTCTTTACAATTTAATATTGCAATTATTTTTTATTTTTCTTATCTTCATTTTAATTAGGTTTTCCTCTCTTTCCTTTTTTCTTTTTATATATTTTCTTATTATTATTATTTATATTTTATCTCTTACTTATCTTTCTTTCTTTTACAGTAGCCAGTTGCAGCAGGGCAGATTATATGTGATTGGTAAGTCTGGTGATGAGGTGTCACAGAATAAAAGATACACTTCTAATTGTTAACCTTCACCATTAAGTACCTTCAGTCAATCCATAGACCCTGCCTCATAAATTCAGCAACAACCAAGAATCACTTCCAAATAACTCACTTGCTATTATCAATGTCTTTAGAGCTCTACAATTCCTAACAGTGCTGTCACTCCACTAGGCGTCACTACTGAGTATGCATGCCAGGACAACAATCCCTATACATCTGCTCGAAGTGCCAAAGTTTGTCCACTTTTTCACAACTTGCAGAAACGCTAGTTTACTCTTTCCTTACATAGTAATTAATCTCTTTTCTGAAACTGTGTTCACAACAAACGTTTAAGACATTTTATTATAGAGTACCTTTATACGTAAATTCATCATTACATGAGAAATTAAGTCACACTATCAGAAGCCTGCCATATAAAAGTAAAGAATTTTGCATGTAAACACATGTGCAAATCTCATTATAAAAAAGAAGTATGAAAATACATATGAAATATATATGAAATACACACACACACACATACACACACATAACAAAATGACATATGATTGAATTTCGTAAGACATTTCAAGAGAAAGACAGTCCTGATGAGACCTGATAGGCTAAGGTCAAATGGAAGGGGAGGAGGATCTCCCCTATCAGTGGACTTGGAGAAGGAAATGGGAGGAGATGAGGGAGGGCGGGTAGGATTGGGAAGGAATGAGGGAAAGGGCTACAGCTGGAATACAAAGTGAATTAACTGTAATTAATATAAAAAATAAAAAAATAAAAAAGAGATTCTGAAAAATAATTCAAATCTTGAAAATGAAAAGTTTGATGAATTGAATCAAAACCAATTAAACTCGGTGTGGCAAAGCACACCTAAAAATAATAGGAAGAAGACTTGAAAACTAGCCTTACATACAGACAAAGGTCAAGTTCTTGGCTGCAACTCACCCCATCTCAACAATCAAATTTATTTGAAAGGCTTGCCATTGGATTAAATCAAGCTAAAGAGAAGAACATAATGTGGGCACTAGCAAGACAACTCAACAAGGAAAGGTGCTTGCCACCAATCCTTGTAACCCAAATGGTAGAAGGAAAAAATGAACTCCCACAAGTTGTCGGCTGACTTCCACGTATGTGCAATTGCAAGACCATGAATACACACACACACACACACTCACACACAAGTGTAAAGAGCCAATTAAAATGATTTCCAAAAGTTTATGATACTATTGAACTAATCACATAAATAATAATACTTCCATCATATACTTGTAAGGACTTTTAAATGCATTTCTGTTTTGTGTTTGAAAACTTTAATGGAAAAGTGAATATTTGGTGCTTTATGTAGAAGTTTATAGATATATTTAATAGAAAGTAAAATATGTCATGTGGGTAATAATTTTGAAGATAATATTGTGGATTAGGATTAATCTGAAGGACTTCAGAAGAGTGGACAGTAAATCTGGTAAGGAAATTAAAGAGAAAAATATTTTACTTTAGAACCTGAGAACTGAAAGAAAGGATAGAGAAGAAAACAGGAGTTCTTAGAGGGTCACTAATTTTCTGTGATTTTTGTTTTATATACTTGAAAGCAATGTTATTGAGGAATGTCTACTTATAATTTTATGATCTACATTAATTACTGATTCTTATACCAGTAGCTCTCTTTACAAAGTCCTTTGCTTGAAATGACATTAAACTTAGAATTAATGCAGTTACACAAGCATTTGCTCTGGTTGGTGTTCACATAGTATACTTTTTGTATCTTTCTTTCAAAACTTGTGTCTCTATATTTAAGGAAAGCTTCAATTAAGTTATATATATTATAATTTCTTCTACTGTGGTGATGTTTAGTCTATTCCTATATTATACACTTCATGTATAATTAGTAGGTAAATGTTTTTCCTATCAACTTAAATCTTATGTGCATACTGAATATTGTAGCAGACTGTTCTTTGTTCTAAACTTTTTGCAAGCAGGTTTCTTTGCACTGTAAACATCAATAGAGATTGTATCTCTGCCTTGGGAGCAGAGACAAGTTAGCTTATGATTTTAAGTTTTATCAAGTGGCACTCAAGTGTACGGCACCTGGGTCTTTTGATTACATGACCTATTTCTTAAATTTACAAATATATACAAAGTATACATATTTCTTAAGTATACACATACACAAATTTTAAATCAGCACAGTAACAACAACAACAACAAAAATCTACCTGTGAGCAGAGTGGCAAGTGAGGGCGTTAACAAAAACTGATTTTCTAAATATTTTGGCAAAAATTCCGCAGATCCAATATTAGCCAGGGACTCTGTGGCTTTGCACATTGCATAGCACATCATCAGAGGGCTTTTTATCAGACTCTGAAACAAAGCAGGTCACATCACAATGATGATCAGTCTGCAGATCTGGCTTCCTATAGTCTATACTGAATTATGAAAACAAATCTATATAGCTCCCCAATAGGCATTTTCCATAAAACACTTGTAGTTTGGTTTCTCTCTACAGCAAGCATAGATTTTTACTTCTGGATCCATTAGCTTGTTGAAAGTGTTCCTTTGTTGCCTTATTAGATATAGTCATATATTAGTCATACCTAACTCAGGTGGTGAGTGCTATGTAATTTTGATTGATGTGATTTCAATGTATTTATCACTTCTTATAGGATTAAATATTTATGGCACCTTCAACTCCCCAATGACACAGACATGGTTACAATAAAAATCTCTAGGCATTTACTCTTATTCTCCCATGAAAGTATCTTTAGAAATGTGTACCCTTGAAAGGGGTTTTTGGATATTGGTGTTTATGAGTAATTTATTTTATTTTTTGGTCCAGATTTTTCTCCAGATAATATCTTTAAATAGAAACACTTCAATATTTTAGAGTCCAGTTCACTTAGTGAACTGAATTGTATTCTAAGATTCATCAGAAAATATTTCAGGTTTTGCAAGTCCTTGTAGAAGTCTGCAATTCCATCAGTACTGAGCATGGGCAGACCTTATAATTGCCAACACAGCTATGTCTGAGTGCAGTACTGCTAATAGGAGAGCAATGAAGCCTTGAGATACATCCACCCTTCACACTGTGAACACTTCAACCAACCCCATGTATAGCTGAGAGAAATAAACGCTGACAAATTTTGGAATGATAAGTAAAACAGTTTTGTATTATGCTACAAAGACTTATATACATCAATAGCTAACTGGCATAGACCACATAATTTGAAACACTTGTGAACATTTATTGACATTTGTAGGCTTCCAAAATTTTATCACAGAGATATACACAAGATAATATTCCTTTTGTGCTTCTATGGTTTTAAATATAAATGTACATTTTGGAGGCTGGAGAGAATCATCAGTTGGTGAAGTGCTTGCTTTGCTCAAGGACCTGAATTCAATCTCAGAACAAATCTAAAAAAATTCCAGACACAGTGGCACACACTCCTAGTATCAGTGTTGAGCGATTAGAGGAGAGGGAGGCCCTGAGGCCTTCTGGCAAGCTAGTCTAGCCTGCACACCAAGTTACAGGCAAGCCTGTCTCAGAAAATAAAGGTGGCTAGTACCTGAGAAGGACACCTGGAGTCACTGGGCCTTCACATGCAGGTCCACATGTTTGCATGTGAACCTGAACCTACCTGAACATTTACATACATGCAAACACACTCAAACCTGTGTCTGTCTTCATATACAGTAGAAGCTTCTCTCTCTCTGTTTGCGTGTGTGTGTGTGTGTGTGTGTGTGTGAGTTTGTAATATTCTATCACATTTTCTTATTCTTTGGGTAGATTTTCTAAAAGTTCTCTATTTTATCTATTATCTTCTTGGATTTTGGTAGTCACTACTCATCTACTGCACAGTCTACATATTCATTCAGAAAAAAGAACATTCTTGATTTTATATTATTTAATCTATAAACTTATTTTGTGTTTTACATTGTTTAAGAGTTGTTTAAAATACATTAACACTTCTGTGTTATACATATCTACCACTATCAACATTAACTCCATTTTTAGCCTAAAGAGTTTATTAAACTGGAAAGCTTCTATGTTTATAAGTTAGGAAACCTAATCTTATCATTGCATACACTGAACAATATTCTTTACATTGCTTATATCACTCAGCAAATACTTCTTTAATATATGCATGTATATACACACATATAACCAATTGTTAAGTTTTCTATTCTATAGCTATGGATCAGTTAGAGCAGATAAAACATGTTACGCTATTGTTTCTATTCTTATCTTTTAGAGTGACTTCTTGTTAATAGCTTACTGGTGCTGTTTTTCTTCAATTTTGTGCTTGTATTCTATCATATGAAATTTAGAACAATTTGTTATTCTTTAAAATATAGCCATCTCATGTATTAGCGCATCTGTCAATTTACCTGAGTTTTTGAGTTCAATTTTCTATAAAAAAGTTCAGGGCCAGATGGTTTCAGGACAGAATTCTCCCAGACCTTCAAAGAAGAGCTAACACCAATACTCTTTTAATTATTTCACAAAATAGAAACAGAAGGAGAACATTACCAACCTCATTCTATGAGGTCACAGTAACCTTGATACTTAAACCACACAAAGACCAATCAAAGAAAGAGAATTTCAGACCAATTTCCCTTATGAACATTGATGCAAAAACACTCAACAAAATAATTGAAAAACAAATCCAAAAACACATCAAAGATATCATCCACCATGACCAAATAGGCTTCATTCCAGTAATGCTCAATATATGGAAATCCATCAATGTAATACACCATATAAACAAAGTGAAGGAAAAAAAAAAACACATGATCATATCCTTAAATGCTGAAAAAGCATTAGACCAAATCCAACAACCTTTCATGTTTAAAGTTTTGGAGAGATCATAATAGAAGGCACATATCTAAAAATAGTAAAAGCAATATACAACAAGCTTACAGCCAACATCAAGCTAAATGCAGAAGAACTTAAATCAATCCCACTGAAATCAGGGAAAAGGCCAGGCTACCCACTCTCCCCATATCTCTTCAACATACTACTGGAAGTCCTAGCTAAGGCAATAAGGCAACTAAAGGATATAAAGGGGATAAAAATCAAAAAGGCAGAAGTCAGAGTATCACTATTCACAGATGATATGATAGTATACATGACTGACCCCAAAAATTCTACCAGAGAACTCCTTCAGCTGATTAACACCTTCAGCAAAATAGCTGGATACAAACTTAACTAAAAAAAAAAATCAGTAGCCATTCTATATATAAACGACAATTGGACTGAGAAATAAATTAGAAAAACAGCACCCTTCACAATAGCCACAAATAAAATAAAGTACCTTTGCATGACTCTAACCAAACAATAAGCAAGTGAAAGACCAATAGAAAAAAAAAAAAAACTTCAAGTCTCAGAAGAAAAAATGTGAGGAAGATATCAGAAGATGGGAAGATCTCTTGTGCTTGTGGATTGGTAGGATTTAACATAGTGAAAATGGCCATCCTGCCAAAAGCAATCTACAGATTAAATGCAATTCCCATCAAAGTACCAACACAATTCTTTATAGAAATTGAAAAACAATTATCAACTGCATATGGAATTACAAAACAAAGCAACAAACAAACAAATCAAAAACAGAATAACCAAAACCATCCTGTAAAATAAAAGAACTTCTGGAGGTATCTCTATCCCTGATCTCAAGTTGTACTATTGAGAAACAGTAATAAAACAGCATGGTACTAGCATAGAAACAGACTGGAGGATCAATGAAATTGAATAGAAGACCCAGAATAAACCCATACCCCTATGGACACCTGATTTTTTACAAAGAAGTCAAAATCATACAATGAAAAAAAAAAAAAACCAACAACAACAGCATCTTCAACAAATTGTCCTGGTCTAACTAGATGTCCACAAGTAGAAAAATGCAAATAGAGCCATACTTATCACCCTGAACAAAAGTAAAGTCCAAGTGGATCAAAGACCTCAACGTAAAACCAGACACACTAAATCTGATAGAAGAAAAAGTAGGGAAGAGCCTTTAATTCATTGACACAAGATACAACTTTCTGAACTGAACACCAACAGCTCAAGCTCTAAGATCAACAATCAATAAATGGGAGCTCATGAAACTGAAAAGTTTCTGTAAAGCAAAGAACACAGTCAACAGAACATATTGAGTTCATTTTTTTCTTCATGAATTAATTATGAATCACTGTTAAACTAGTTCCTGAATTATTTTAAAAAATTTTTTGATTATGTTTTAATCTATAATCCAGTTTTAGATTTAGATAAATGGTCTACAATTAGCAAGGTACAAGGTCAAATTATCACTATTAAAAGATTTTATGATTTTAAGTACAAAGAAACCTAACATCAATACTAAAAGAGAACTGTTATCTTAAATGAAGAAATTTGTAAAAAACAAAAAAAAACCCTATAAAATCTACAAGCATTTAAATATTCAAATGAACTCATTGAGAAAAAAATATCATGGAAGTGTAATCAAAACACCTGTCAAGATAATGCTCAGAAATAAGTTTCACCTTGGACGTGAAGCACCTCTGTAATGAAAATTCTAAAACATTGATGAAAGAAACTGAAGCACACACACACACAAACCAAAAATATTATATACGTAATGATAGAAGGGATTAACACTGAAAGATAAAAAAAAAATCTGATCTGTATATTCAATGCAACCTTAATCAAAATACCGGTGATGTTATTCCATAACTATTAAAAACAATATTGAAATTCCTAAGGTAGAGAAACAAGATGCCAGTAAGTTGAATTAATGTGTAAAGAACTGGAAGTGTCAGTACAGCAGATATCAATACATGCTATTGCGTCTCAGTAAACAAAAAGCATGACACAGAAGACGTAAAATACAGTGAGCCAAAACTAGAACTCTGCACGTTGTCCAAGAGATACTCAGCCACCTATAGCCAGTTGATAAAGGGTGTACACTGAAGAAAGACAAGTTCTTCTACATATGGGCATCTATACCCAGAAAATTGTAAAATGACCAGTCTTTCATTTTGTAGTAAAAGTCAACTCAAAGGTGATTAAAATGTAAACATAAGACAATAAAGTATAAATCTATGAAGATGAAATGTAAAGGCTACCATGTACCGGTATGAAAAATGACAGTATTATTTTTTTGTCTATGACTCCAAAGTACAGAAAACAGACACAATGTAGATAAATATAAAAACCAAGAGGCTTCTGTGCAGGAAAGAAAATAACCACTAGAGTGAAGAGACAATCTGGAGAATGTGAGAAAACACTTTCCATATGCTTTTCTTTCCAGGGATTAATACACAAAATGGGTAAGGTTCTGAAGAAATTTAAGAACAAAAAAGTGATTCATTTTTGTTTATCTTCT